ATGTGTGATCAACATCAGATACTCTCTTACTAAAACCATCTAAAATGTAAGATAAATAAAAAATATATTATTATATTTTAGAATGTGAGAAATACAAACAATTATTACTGTTCTTCGTATTAATCAATATTTGGAAATTAGTTTTTTTAGATAGATTGTCGAATTAAGTCAAAGGAAATTTAAAAAAATATATTCAATTAAAGTTGTTATGTATTTCTAAAAAGTTTTATCAGGAACCTTGGATAGTGGGCTCATGTGCAAACGGTGGCAATTAGTATAATTAATTTGGTTGACACTTTATTATTTCAACAATTGTCTAGCCTGCATTTTGTTAAAATTAATACAGAAAAGCAATTTTTAACTGATTGTTGGAAATGAAATCTGGCACATATAACTGATTTTACCAGTGGGGTATGGTCTGACAAAGCTGAACAATAATATATGGCCACCCAAAGTTACTCTTAAACTAGACAGTGTGAAGATAGCTAATTAAGAAAATAATAGATAGGTAATCAAATTTAAACTTGACATTTTAATAGAAGTGTATTAATATTCTAGCAAATCATTTAGATAGGTACAACCTAAGTTCATAATTTAATACAGAAATATAGTTCTAACATTAATCAATACAATTAGAGGATATTAAACCCAGATGACATGCTCTTCTTCAGTAAATTGGCTGATAATTAAATTAAAAATTAAGAAATAAGAATATTATCCAAGAGCTCACGTAGCCTTTTTCCATATTCTTAACTCTTAAGTGAATTCATTAGCATTTTAAAATTAAAATCCATGTTTTATTAAAACATATGGATTTATTTTAAAATAACTAAATTATTAATTTATTTGTTTAAAATAATAACTAAATGACAAATTATTATTAATGTTAACATTACCAACAGACCTTACATAGCATTTATTTCACTAAAACACATTGGGTTAAGTCATTGACAGATACATTGACACTGCGGTAGCTTAGTATCTCAAACTAGTCACAGTGTGTTTCAACTTTTGGCGAACCTCACACCAAGTTATTTAACATAGATTTATAAAATAAACGACCTCGGCTGACAATAACAATATTAATGGTTTTATGTGATATGGAAACTATGGAATATTTTAATACAGTTGGATATTTACTAATTTAAGCATTTATTTGTTATTCGGTACTACCATCCAAACGCAGAGAACCCCTGGTTTTTCGTTAACAGGCTTCTGTCACAGAGTCAATTTATCTGGCAACGACTGTACATAGCTATTTATAATAATAATGATTGATTAACTTACATATGTGTAACTGCCGTACAAAACTCATAAAGTTATTATGCTTGAAATATCTTGGTAGAACCTTACAGAATTCCACAGGATTGTTTATGATAAAACTGTCACCATCCTAAAACATTAAAAATGTGACGGTACTCAAATATTTCAACAACCTATAAACAGTAGAGATTACCTACTGTAAGGGAATAATAAGTTTTAAAATATTTATAAATAATTTAGAAAAATAAATCGAAATATGAAAATTTACCTCGCTCCATGTAATCACATTATCGGTTTCTTTACTGCAGACCAATGTCCAAAGTTTTCTTAAAAATAAAGAAATCCTTTGGTCGTTCACGGGATTGTCATCTGGCATCATTCCTCTTACGAGGAACAGAGAGTATGTAAGTAGTTAATACGTATGTATTAATTAAAGAAAACGATTGGAGTATTGGACACAACCAATATCATCACACCGATCTTTCGAATTAATACCTACGAAAATATAAAAAATAAGTATGTAATAATTATTAGGCACCTATTAAATGTTGTTTTCGATTTCTGTGTTTCCGTAAGTCGTAACATAAATATATTAATGAAATAATTAAATTGATATTAGTTTTTACTTTTTACTTTTTAAGTGATAACAAAAATTGTGTAGTACCAGTGTACCACCTTTGACCATATAAACTTTGTTTATACCACCATAGAAACTATTTTAGTATTCTATACTATATAATCTGTGATAGTACAGCCACAGAACCAAGGTGGACAATTTATGTATACGTCATAGAACCATAGATAATAAAGATATGGATAGGACATATTGGTCTTATCAGCGGTCTTCGAGGGGAACAATTGAGGCCAAATAAAGTATACCTATATTGAGTATCGACTATCAATATAAAGGAGCCTCAATTGCCTTCTCCTCCGGGAACGCGGCCTCAAATGTATTTAACATAGGCGTGGCCTATCCATATCTTTATTATCTATGCATAGAACACAGTGTTCTATGATATACCATATACATATACCTTGCGCAGAACAATAATAAACTGATAAAGCAGGACGTATGGTTTGGTTTGGTGCAATCCACGATTTAAGATAGTTTATGTATATATCTTAAAATCAAGGTGGATAACCTTACTTAAAATAATAAATAAAATATATCTTAATATATATATATATATATATATATCTTAAATCGTGGGATATTTATACCACAGTATAGGTTAAATCTAATTCAAATGATTATTATATTATATATTATACATTATACATACTTTGTATATAAAAGCGGCACTAGAATAATCGATCAGCATCAGCTGATTGGGTTCTTGTTTACCTGTGATCTGCACACACTAGTTCCATTTGAACCACCGAAAAACATAAAAACTAGCCCGCAACTCGCTCGATGCATTAACACGAGATGGCGAGGTCATTCGTTTGTTTACACTAGTCACGGAAAGTATGTACAGGGTTGATATCAAGAAGATAACACAAACATTTAACATAAAAAAATGCTTAAGGCATGTAAACTTTGAATTTCAAATAATTATTTTTCAATTTTTCATTTTTGGTTACAGTGTTTCCCTATATAAGCACAGATTTATATGTTATTCAACTCTGTGTAACACCTATCATATCATAAAAATTGTTCTATGGTAATATATAGAGTATATACGATAGACAATAATCGACAGTATAGACCTTAGAGTATAATCAAACTAAAGACTACATCTATAGACAAACACAAACTCGTTTACTCGCATTACTCAATGGTTTACTCATATGCATGAACCAACTTGCTTGGACATAATTAAAGAATGTTTTTAATGTTCATGCTCATATGATAGGTACTTGGTGGTGCCACGGATTATATATAATTTGTGCCAGTGGCGGCTCTAGCTTCCCCCCCCCCCCCAGACATCAAAACAAAAAAACAGTCGAATTTAATATAATATTATGTTATATTAGTATTTAGCGTTGTGCACTAGTACGCTAGTTCGTAGATGTTACGTTTGTGTTTCCGATAGGGACTGTTTCATCGAGACATATCTATGAATATAGATCAAGTAATAGATCGATTATCAAAAAATAGAAATCGAAAATTAAATTTCGTATTATAAAATGTAATTTCTAGTATTCTTGTTTTGTAATATTTTATCTTATTGACTTGTACACTATCTGTGTAATTTAAAATGTTATTGACTTGTGTACTATTTTGTAAATGTATTAATATTTTGAACTAATATCTTACACTGATTTTGAAGCATTTGAATAAATATATCATAAAATATTTTTTAGACGTGTGTGATGTTTATGACCCCCACCCCCAGAATCAAACTCTAGAACCGTCACTGATTTGTGCCTTGTAGTAGTGCGGGGTAGTAGGGTAATTCTTGAATTTTGTCGTCAAAATTATTATGACATATTGTTTGCACGCCACTCGTAATGCTGTCGACTGTTGTTATACCACAATTCTTGTCTGTACAGTACTAATTGTAGTAATATTTTAAGGTCTATGGTGTTGGTGTATAATATAAGCCAAAAGCTATGTATATATTATTAAATTATATGTAGGTATTTTGTATTAATACATATGTATAAATATATTAATAATATGTATTATACTAATATACAATAATTATTGTAGTCCCTATAATAATTAATATTGTCCTATGATAATAGTCGCAGCACGGTTTAAGATAGTACTATCTTAAATCGTGCTTTGAAGTATAAAATTAGGTACCATTGAACACCATCCGTCGAGTTTTCGGATCTCTGCGCATAAATACATACACGACACGTGACGGCACACTGCATCAGTAAAATGTTGAGAACCAATGGTTACTAGTTACTATACTATATTGTTACTACAGCAGAGCTGGGGGTATGAACCACAATGTAGAACTTCAGTTTAAGACTATAATTTAATATATATGTATTGTTGCCTTATATCACAGATATATAGAATAAATTTTATATAAAAAATTGTATAATATTTATTCTATATATCTGTGCCTTATATATACAATGGTATAATACAGGGATTCTCAAACTCTTAAAAAACTTTACCCCTTTTTATCAATACATTTTTTTGAGTACACTCTTCTTAATTACTATACTAAAATACATATAACAAAATATAGACTTTTAAAAAATGTTTTCTTTGTTGGTCTGTTGGCCAGACTCGTACTCCTAAAAACATTTCGGGTACCCCCAAGGTGCACGCGTACCACAGTTTGAGAACCCCTGGTATAATATATCAATGCTCTCTAATAAGAACTGAAAAAAATCAGGTGTCTACATCTATACTATTATGTATAATCATTAATCAATGGTTTTAATTTTGTTGGAGTTTGAATGACCAAAAACTTTGATGGATACTAAATTATAACACATATAATGATATTACTATTTAGTGCAATATATAATAACATATATTAGGTACTTCATCTGTCACTAAATAAATAAAAGTTATTTGATTGTTTTTGTGCATGAAAAAAAAAAAAAATAATAACGGATACTTATTAATTTACCTAAAATTAATTATTTTAAGGATAACTAATGAATATTAATCATAATTAAATTAAATCCAGGTAGGTAATACATTAACTTAGTTTATAAAGCTTCAACTAAATAAATGTGACTTAAAGTTAATTGACAATATTTATTTTAATAATACACATTTTGAAAAACATAATAGAGGATTTAGGATAATTTTCAAAAAAGTATAAACTAAGAATTTGATTTTTAATGTAAAACTTTAACCATAGTAATATTATTAGCATTGGTAACTTTATTCTATTGTAAAACTAAATCGTCTAAATCGTGGTTCTTAACAGTTTCTATAGTTTTTAAAACTTGTTCCAGAAGAGTGCTTGTTAAGATAGACACGTCTTGAGCTGCATCTACTTGAATAAAATTATCATTTTTAAATTTATCATAATTAACATCAACTCTATTTTGAAATTCAATATTTTCATATCTTTCATCACCGAAACCAGATCGTTTGGCCATTTCACTAGTTGATAATTTTAAAAACATCACTATATCTGGCTTAGGTAAACCATTTTCTGGTCCACAACACCATTTAAAATCTGCACATTGTTTGGCACTGGTAAAAACTACACCAGAATATGAGTACCGATCCACAATCAATGTTACACCAGACTCAATTTGTTTACGAATTTCTGGTTCTAGTTCCCAACGATTAGCACTGAATAATAAATGAACTGATCTATCTGGTAACTCTATTTTTCTTGATAAATAATCGTTGATCAATGAACCAATAGGAGTAGATCGATCTGGAAAAGATATCTTTTTTGCTGGTATTTTCATACTATTTAAAACTTCAACTAATTTTGCACATTGGGTTGTTTTTCCTGATCTATCACAGCCTTCTAAAACAATTAATGCACCCCTCATAGCAGACTTTGTCATTTTGTTAAATTAGCCTAGAAAAATAAATCATATAATTACAAAAACATTTTTTTTGTTATTCTGTTAAAAAAAAATAATTCCAACTACCCTATACATTTTATGATATGGGCCATGATGTGACTTTTAATAATACAAGCATAATCATTTACAGTTAATATAAACATGTAGCTACCTACTATAATATAAAAGATCAAAATTTAGTGTTAGCTACAAATATTTATTTTATTCAATTAACTGACATACGTACAATATGAAGTATAATTAAAAGATAACAAGGTTATAATAGTAATAATAGGAACAACTTAAACTTTTATCGTCGAAATTTTAAATAAAAAGACTTTTAAAAGAGCAATAACTACACGACAGTTACATGGAGAGTTAGAAGTGTGTTTGTTTGCAAGACGCATCATATGGTGAATTGGGTGGATACAAACGTAGTTTGTGTCGTATAACAGGACTGCAAAAGGAGTAAAGTTTCAGGGACTTTGAAATTTACTTGAGATAGAAGAGATAGGGCATTAGCAGGCCCAATAATCAACTTATTCAAATATGATAAGTTTTGGGACACTCTTCTGTCACTGTCAGGTAAGGTGCTAAACAAGCAATGGCGTAATTTGAGAGGAGGTAAGGTGGGCTTTTCCTCTGTCTGATTTTAAAAGCAGTCTGATGGGCCAGTGCCCTGTTGTTTCTGTTTAACCATTATTATATTTTATTAACGCGCAAAGACATGCCTATTTTTATAATATTTTGAGAAAATTTTATACTACCTACTATTTTTATAGGAAATTATTGTCACAATGATAAATTAGAAATTAATAATTAATAGTCAAAATATATTTATTTTTAAATGCAAGTGGGGACGTGCATGAAAGTTGGTATAACAGTATGTATGCGTATGCGTGCTTTTTAGGAAGGGAAAGGAACATAATATTATGTACTCATGAGTAGTGTGTTTTAAGTTACTCATTTGGGCTAGTTAAAACTTTAGCCCCCCCCCCCCTCCTCAATTGAAAACTGAAATTACGCCAATATTAACAAGGTAGTTCAGGACATGAAATATTCATGCTAAGGACATTCAATGGTACCTAAGACATGATGTGCAAAAGATAGGAAACAACATTGAATACCTTTTTTTAATTTGGAAGTACTGTGTGGAGGTCCCATAAAACTGATAAAAATTCAACAATTAAGTGCACCAAGGAATAATAAATATCTTTCAGAGGTGTTGTAAGATGAAACTCGGATGCATGGGCACAATTAGGGAATTTTTTCAAGGGGGTTAAAATTGTATTAGCAGCACAGATCCTGATAATTGATATTTTAAACTGAAATATTATCAATCCTTCCCCCCCTCCTAATAACGCATAGGCAGGGATATGACACATTTTAAAAAGATCAGAACTTTAAATGCTTAAAGGTACTTAAGTATAAAAGTGTAAAAACATTTATAATTTATGTTGAGAACCTGATATTTTTAAATTAATAAGTAAGATTGATGAATAATTAAACTTAAATATAGTGTTAAAACAGGGTTTACTTTTGATCTAAGTGTTTGGGTAGGCATCTAGGTTCTACGATACAATGTTTTACCATTAGAAACCATTAACTTTTAACACTTTTCTAAAATATATTTTAAAAATGAAAGTAATTTTAATTTGCCAAAAAAAAAAAAAATGATGATCGTAATTTTACTTTCACTACAACACAATTGAAGATAAACTCTACCTAAATCGTATTCTACAATTAATTTTGACTTACATTGGATGGTGGTATAACTTATTTACATGTATTGAAAGCTTAACATTCATTTAAATAATTGTAAATATATATGTTATGCTAAATATATTTGTACAATAAGCTAAAGTGGTTAATAAGATTAATAAGATAACAAATAGTCACTTTTGTTGTCTCCATCTTACAAGAGAGTAACATAGCCAATTTACATAAAGCAGTTGATATTTAGTTTCAAACATTTTAATAGTAGAATGAATTTAACCTTTATCAAACTTAAAGGTAGGTCATCATATTTTCTGAAGTTTATAAAAAAAATGTTTTCAATATTTTTATTTTAAAATTATATCAAGGAGTATGAAAAATATTACCACTTAAAGAAACATTTTTTCTCAAGTCTAACTTGAAAATTTAAATATTAATAAAAGTCTGAGTGATGCACTGGTCTAGATAATAATCTTACCTTTGAATATAAAGTCAATTCACTCTAATATTAAAACTAGCAAGACAAAATTGATTCTGCTGAACCAATTAGCTATAATGTAAGTGTGTTAGACAGAGAAGAGAAAACACATTCGAGTTTGGTGTCCTTTCAAGTGCCTGGAGTTTATTTGAATGTGCATTGTCTTGGGAACAAAGTAGTCGAGTAGCAAAACCATCAGAGTATTATGTATTAATGAAAATAATAATTAAAGCCACAATAATATTACCTAGACGACAACGAGACAGCAGAATTGTTATCTTTGAACAGGATTTACATAAGACGAATGCCGGTGAAATTGTAGTAGGTATACAAATCTATACAAGTTATGATAAAAGAAATTTGACTGACGTTAATTGACCATTGTTCTCTGCAGTTCAGTTTAAGTAACTGTAGACGAGTAGCAATTATGGTAAGTTAAAATAATAGGCTATTAACCTATAAACTAAAAGTTAAAACTGAAATACTGAACTGAATGCTGAGACAGCAATGCATCACAGACTAAAGAAATATTGATCATTATTCATTGTGCGCATGCTATATTGCTATGTGTGGCTAACAAATTGGCGCGAAATCACAATAATAACAATAAATAATGATAATATTATAATATAGAACAGATACTAGATAGACACAGTAAAACACCACCTTGGCACTTACCATATTTTAGACATGGCACGTCTTACGCAGTTACACTCACGGACTAAGATATATAATAATATATATCTTGGTCCGTCGTTACACTACAGTAACTGTTTACTCTTTTTAGTGTTTTCTGATTTCTAGTCTGGACGTCTGGTACTCATTTCGATTTCATGTTATAATAATGTTGGTAGCTTGACATTTTATCTATATATATATAGGATAGTAAATGATAGTAGGAACTACTACAGCAGTCATGCCCAACCCGCGGCCCGCGGGCCACATGTGGCCCGCCAAGGTATTCCATGTGGCCCGTTACAAATTATTAAAATAAAACAAAATATTCCAAAAAAAGTAAAATTATTACAAAATACGATTTTAATTAATTTATAAATAAAAAATACAAAAATAAAAATAAAAAGTATATAAAAATGTTTTTATATTGCAACCTACAACTATGTGTACCTAACTAAATTGATTGAGATTATGAGTACTTTTATATTTGGTGACCCGCTCGATTACAAATGTTTACCAAAGTGGCCCGCCGAGGAAAAAAGGTTGGGCATCACTGTACTACAGTATATTATAGGATAATATATACTATATAGATATAATATTATACTACTACTACTATAGTATAGGATTCATACTATACCTATTTCCTAATGGTTTTATACCTCGAAGCAGTGGAAGCCGATCGCTGAAGTGGGTTTTTAAGTTCATACAGTTTGAAGGTAATTTTATTTGTACCAAATGAAAATATACTGTGGCGTGCAAAAATTAAGTTAGATATTTGAAATGTTGAATGTGTAAACGATTATTTTATGTTTGTGCAAGTGTTCGGTAGTAGCTAGGTTGGGGTTTTGTACTTTGTACAGATAAAACTGAACGTGGAAACCCGCCTTAATTCAGCAATAATTGCTATATATATAATTTCCAGTTTGCACCGATCAATTATAATTTTTAATTTCCAGCCACAATAGTATTTTCTTTAATATCTATACATTCTATACTTCGGTACAGCACACTTCCACAATATATACAATTTAGCGCTGTCACTGTTCGTTCATATTTTACCAGTCATCACAGACAAATACAATAAATAATAATCTTATAGGTAGTTACAATAGTATAATATCTATGTTTAGTAAAAATAGTGCTGTTAACTGTCATTAACTGAGTTGGATTAGAATATTCTCATTATTCATTATTATCATTCAGTAGTTTGAGGTAGCACGGTTTAGCAAAAAAAAAAAATACCGTGCAAGTTGATATTTTGATAACGAAGTTTCGATGAGTCTTGTATCATCCGACAGCCTGCACAGCACAGGATACCATACAGTCCAGTATAATACCACTCACCAACATGGAATAGGAAATACGTACTATACGGTACTATAACAGATGGTACCAGCAGCAGCTGTTGTCGGGTACTCGAGTTTCTCTTTTAGCCTCGACTATCGGACAATAACATTACCATGAATTTCAAATAATATAGTATATTAGTATATAATATAGCAAAATATAGCAATAACATAACAAATAACAATACCAACGGATTAACTCTACGCACGCACACACCCACCCATCACCAGGACTGTAAAGTACACAAAGCACAATCACTTTGACTTTACAATCTTCATTATAATAATGTATAGTGACAAGTCATGGTTAATGCTTTGATGGTGGTGGTCCCGCACTACCGTTAAACAGCTGTCCTACGCCGTTGTTCCCGACGTTCCCGTTGTGTGTCGTGTGTGCACTGTGCGCCACAGCTCAAGTCTAGTAGTCTCTATTCTCTGTCGAACGTCGATGCTACTGCCGTGTTCGCTGGAAGTGTAATAATTTTAAACTTTAATAATAATAATAGTTTAGTCGCAGCAGTGGTCCGCGTTCGTCGTTGAGTGTAGACTACGATTCGCAGCACGTCACACTGTTCCATATCGTTAGTCGCACGAGTGACATAAACGTCCCAGTTTTGTCCGTCGGGCGTTGATCGCTACGTCGCCCGTGGCCGATTTTGTGCCCGCGAGTAAACTTTCGTCCAGCGACACGGGCCCCGTCGCTAGCGTTACCAGACATAGTGATATCCGTCATGTCTGATTGATACAGCTAGTGGTTTTTTCGTTTTATCGACGCCACTTTTATCGTCTCGTTGCAACATGGACGACAAAAACGGCATTGTAGCCGATTTTCAGGTAATGTATTCCCCGAACGTAGAGAACAAAGACACCCACCGACCTCCTGCTAATGTTGTTGTCTTGTTGTACTACAGGCCATCACTGGTATCGACAATGCAGCCGAAGCTTTGATGCACTTGTCGAATTTTAATTGGGACTTACTGGTAATTACTCGAGTTTTCCACTGAAACATGGTATTTGTAATGGCTTTGCCAAATCCACTCTATCTGTTATTTTTTAAGGCCGCTGTCCAGCATGTCACGCCACAACACACTCAACACTTGCCTTCTGAAGGACGCCGTATACGTCTAGGCGCACCATCTGTAATGATTGCAGACGATTTCAGTGGTATGACTGCGTCAACGTCAAATGAAACTCACCGTTTAATTACCATAGAGATTGAACAAAATGGCCATATTATTGCCACATTAAAAGTCAACGATGCTTCAACAATTGGTAATTACTAATCCTAATTTATTTTCAGTTTTAACTATTTATTTAATCTTATAAAATCAATTCATTCATAAATATTTTATTTGTATAGATATACTATTTTCATAAACAATAGGTATTCAAAAAAAGTTGTACTTCTACAATTGTTGCTAAAGTTCAAATGATTTATATCTAATTCAAATGTTTTAAATTTAGTGACTTCTATTTATACACACTACATACATAACCCAATTCCCCGATTCTTTGTTAAAGGACATAATTAACGAGACTACTTTCATTTAAAAATTGTAGGTAATCAGTTAACAGTTTTAATACTTTTATTAGTTCCCTTCTATAGAAAAATATAATACCTAATTCCCATGTTTTCTTAATTTTTCTTAGTATTTTTATTAATCAAGCTCTTTAATTTGTATAACTTATAATTTGTTAGTGTAATTACCTATGCAATGTTTTAAATATTATATATTAAACAATTTGATTGCTTACATCTAATTAATATCATATTTTTTTTTAGATGATTTAAAAACATTGGTCTACGCTGAAAGTAAGATTCCATGTTGCCTACAAAACTTTAATGGATGGCCAAATAATCAACTTCCTTCCAATAAAGATACACTTTCCAAATTGAACCTTCCAGATAGATTTAAGCTAAATCTTGTTAGTGGTGAAGATTTAAATCAAGAGCTTAATGGAAGGTATAATATTTATATCTATTAATTTCATATTTTGATTATATTATCTAGTTAATTTAATATTTCTTTTACTACTGTTTTAAGAGCTAACTTGCGAATGTTCACTCTAAACATAACAATGGAGGCTACAACTTCAAGTGAATATCAAGTTTATAAATTGTCATTCTCTTCTGATCAGACAGTTGCACAAGTGAAAGTAGTTGTTGCAAACTTGACTAAATTACCTATTAGTAATCAACAATGGTTAGGTTGGCCACATTTTGTTACTCCAGCTACAACTTTGGAAGAATCTCATATTAATTACCCAGTACATGATTTTAAATTGAAGCCTTCAAATTCAATACTTAAACATACCAGAAGAAGATACAACACTAGATTAAATGTAAGTATTTTTCGTATTATTATGACTATTATGTAACCTACAAACAATTATGGTACTTGTTAGTTGTCTATGATTGCCCTGCTAAAACCAATGAAAAATGTATCAATATAATATTATTTTATGTTGAATATTTATTCATTTTAAAATGTTGATTAACATGACTACCACACAACTGACAAAATAAATAACTTCTCTCAACAAAAAAACATCTGTTACAATGACTACTGACTCGGTTATATACAAATTGCTAGGTTAATTTATTTGAATTGTTTGATAAAAATTGCTTTCTGCCAAAATTGGCAATTGATTTTTGGTATCCTAAAAATTGTGCATTCTTAGATGTGTGAAAACATGCTGCGAAAGTTGTCATAAAATAACTTGGCTAACTATTTAAAACAATAGTTCTATTCTTTAGTGTTTATTGATTGGCTTAACACCGCCATTATACCAAGTTATTGAATGACTACTGTAATACTTTAATCATTAATTTTGACACTTACCCTTATACATTTTTTTTTATTCAAGCAGTCTGTTGTTGATATGGAAACAAGTGATTCTCCAATGCCTTCATCATCTACTTCATCTTCATCCACATCATCATCATCGTCTGAAGAAGATCCATTTGAAGATTCTGCAGAGTCATTAAGTGGTATTGATGATGATGATGTAGAAGCTATGTTCATGGACACAGAGGCACCTACTCGGATCAGACCATTAAGTAAGTTTGATTTAAAGGACCATAAAAGCTATGTATATTTTATATTATTATAATATTTATTACAAAGGAAAATTGAAAGAACCACAAAGTTTCCTACTGTATAATATATTTTAATATTTGATCTTTAGTAGTTAATTGGTTTATACATTATTTAGTTGCTGAAGATACTGAAGATGAACTTGCTGGTGTCATTCAATTCATTGATGAATTTCAAAATCGTTATGGTGATATGAGACCTCAGTTTTTTTTGGGAACACTTGATCAAGCTATCAAAATTGCATGTTTTAAACCTGCTAAAGATGTAGGTATCATTTTTAATTTGATATAGTCTTGCAATTTAGTACCTAACAAATTATATTATACTATATTGTAATTTCTTTATTACCATTAACTAATATATATATTTGTATTGTTCTTTATAATATTTAAAATACTTATGGATTCAACTTTAAATGATGCCTTTTATTGAAACTTGTCTTAAGTAGCTACAGAATATCTAATACCAATCATTTTAAATGTATTTATTTTAGAAACGTTTATTAGCTGTTTACTTACATCATGATCGCAGCGTGTTGTCAAATTTATTTTGTACACAACTTTTATGTTTTGAATCAGTCGTTCAGTATCTCAATACAAATTTTTTAGTATGGGTATGGGATATGACACACCCTTCTAACAGAAATAGGTAACTAGTTGTAAATTTAAAATTATTATGTAAATACAATTGTTGTTTATTTTTTTAGAATATTGCAATCTGCCTCGTTGTCACTGGGTACAATGGCTGAAATAACTTTAGGAGCTATTGACAGTAACAGACTACCAGCTTTAGTGTTATTTACACGTAATCGGTCAAATACAGAAATATTGTCAGTTATAAATGGTAATATTTCATCATCTAATATTTTTTCTATAATTTTTAATTTATTTACCAAAACACGTATTTTCAATTTTTCAGGAGATTGTAATATAAGTGAATTACTATCGAGCCTTATAAATGCCCAAGAAATGTTTGCTATACAACAGCAAGTTGAAATTAAAGAAGAAGGGGAACGTAATATGCGAGAAATGATTAAAGTGGAACAAGATGAAGCCTATCAACAATCATTGGCAATTGATCGGTAAACTGCCTAATTTTTTTTTTAATTGTCATTGTAACTTTTAATTTGGTTATTTATTGTTATATAACTTGATTTTAACTTTGAAGTGTGTAGATTTTTAGTCCTTTTTTAAAAGTTTTAAAATATCAGTTGATATAAAACCTGATTTAACAAACAAATTGATACAATTCTAGAGTTAAAGAAGAAACAAAAATATTGCAAGAAATGGAAGAAAAAGCAATTCGATCTCAAATAGAAAGTCAAGAAAGACAATTTGCTGCAGAAAAAGAGGTATTACACTAACATAAGATTTGTAAATTAATATTTTAATATTAATTGATTGTGTCTAGGCTATTCGACAACGTATTGTTGCATCCCTTCCAGATGAACCAGAACCTGGTGATCAAGTTGTAAAAATCAGATTCAGACTTCCTCTTGGAAAGTTTTTAGAACGGCGGTTTCTGGCATCAGATATTTTACAAGTAAACTATTCATCTTGAACTTTACTCATAATATTATTTTGAATTTTAAACATAGTTTATTTTGACCCTGGCATTAAAATTGAAATAGACTAAATAAGATTTAATTCAATTAAATATTTGTTATTAATAAAAATCAAACTATTTGTTACATCATTAGTTAAGGTGAATTCTTTCTCACCTGTACAATGTGAGCATCTCTAGATTAAAAGGATTCAACACCAACAAAAAAATTTACCCTTAAGTAGGATATAACTGTACAACTTAGATTTTATTTCTGAAAATAATTTAATAATTGTAAATGTGTTATTTAAATTTAATGTTTACTTATTAATCCATGAGAAAAATTCTTTGTAAGACTGTGATGGCTCAATTTAATTTGTGTTAGTATTAAATACATTGTATACTGACTGTGGGTCCTAATCCACACTGTGCATTTGTTATTCACTAAATTTTCTGTACAAGAAGTTCGAAAACTTTTAATAATCACTAATCATTCACTATGGTCTAACAATGTCGTGACGACACGTCACTGGTGCACTTGTTGTAATTGTCATGGATATGAATAATGATCAATGATAAGAATAAATTTGACCATCATGAATCAACTTGGTTTCACCGAAAACACTGTATCATATTTATTTAAATTTATACATATTACAATCTTAATCTTTTTTCTCTTTTTCATGTTTGGTACTGCTTTGTTATAACCCCGCCATCCATATAACAATAAATACATCATATAAATATAAAATAATGAGTTTATTTATTGATATTAATCCAATAATTCGATGGCAGGTATATTGATATAATATTTAAAAATTTAAATTTAAAAATGGAATAATACTATTAAAACAATGATAAAGTTAAAATGTTTAAAATGTTAAAAATTATTGTTTCTGTGATTCCCAAAATTCTGCTATATCTTTTAAGATAGTGTCAAACGGATCACTGTTGTTTAGTTTTGATTGCCATTTAAATTCCACCATGTAAAAGTAAACAATTTCTGTTAGTTCCTATAAAATTCATTTTAACGATACACAATATACAAATAATACATACTGTGATGTTTGATCAATATCAGGTTATTAGAGGTATAATTGATTATAAGGTAAGTACCTAAAAGTAATAGTACATATTTTCTTTCGAATTATAAACATAATATCATTATTTTAAATTTCTACGATGTATTTATTGTTATATGAATGGCGGGGCCATAACAAACCAGTATCATATATTCAAAAGTAGTCTAATATTTTAAATATGTAGTATATTTTATATTTTAAAAATATATAAATTTTCTAATACTTAATGTGATCCACCAAAAATATAATTGCAACCCAAAGTTTGGGAAGCTCTGCTGTATACATTTCCTTTGATTGTTTTTAATTTTAAAATCAGGCCCTGATAGACCTAAATAAGCTCAGGAAAACTACAGGCTTACTAAAACACTGAAATTTAACAGTCCCAATTTTAATATTTTAGGTGTTATTTGACTATTTATATATAAGTGGATTTAGCCAAAAAGAGTTCAAAGTAATTTCCAGTTGGCCTAGAAGAGATGTGAGTAAAAATAACTATATTTTGTTTTATTTAACACTGTTATTTAACAACTAATTTAATTGTTTTTATAGTTAACAACACTAGGTGTAACTCAAACTATGAAAGAACTAAATTTGTATCCACAAGAAACATTAACTTTGGAAGAACGATAAGTCTCTTAATGTAAATGCATGAATGTATAAATTTATTTATCACTAAGATTTTTTTTTTATCAAAAATAAATAGGATATTGTTTTTATTATTATTAAAAATTATGATTGTATGCTACCCAGCTTTTCATTTAATATTAAAAATTATCAAGTGTTCTATTTTATTTAAATTTGGTAACAGTAAAAAAAAAACCAAATGTTGATGTAATTCTTGTTTATTACAGAACTATAAATTAATATTTAAATCTTCATTTTCTTTCAATTATTATTTCAAAATTATATAAGTTTTTCTTCAAAACTAGTTTATACTACTGTCTCCAAGATGTTATGTTGCCATTGTCCTTTAATACTTGTTTCAATGTTAATTGTCCTTTAGATAGCTTTTTTTTTTTCTTATGAGCAAGGTTAATAGTTGAACTTGGTCTTTTTCTTAAATTATAATCTTCAAAATTATTCAAACGTAATTTTTTCTCTAAAACTTTAGCCACCAAAAATTCATTTTGTTGTTGAGTCCACAAATCATTCAACGCTGCTATTTGATCAATGCAAAATGTACAAGGACCATTTGTGGTTAAGTTATCTTGTAAACGTCCACAAGTACAAGTATCCAAATTTTCATCTTCATCTTCAAATATTTCAGATGAATCTATAGTTGAAGAACTTGTGCACGGGTCTGAAGGAAAACCTAAAATGAATTTATTAAATTAAAAAATTGAATTTCAATTTTTAAAATATTCTTACTTAACAATGATTTATTAGGAGATTGAATTTCACATTGTGTACTGGATGAAGATATAGTGCTAGATAAACTACAGTTTTGTGTATTATTCAATTGCACTTCGGAATTATTTTCAGTCGACTTAGCTAATCATACATAAATATATAATATTATAATTTATTAACATTACGCAGCCATTTAAAAACTTACAAAACATTTTATCGAGAGGTCCTTTTGTAATTTGTTTTTTCTGGAAAAGAAGTTATAAATATACTTATAGTCATTTTATTTTTTATATTATACATCTAAGATTTAACTCACTTCAGAAACTGATTTTCTCGTACAAAATGTTGTTTCAGTCGACATCTTGAACATAAAATCATTTGTTTTTTCAGAAAAAAAATATTATTTTAAAATTTATTTCCTCACCTGGTTTTGTAATTTCGTCGCCAAATCTAAATCTGATTGGATTAAAATTATTTCTTCTTGGTGAAGTTCTTTTCTCATCTATGAAAAATATTAATTTATAATATAAAATATAAGGTAAACAAAACAAAATGTGAATCCTCACGTTTTCTTGAATAGATGTTGCTATTATAGAATCTTCCCGTGTTATTTCTTCAATTAAAGCTGTTTGAGTTTGAATCTTAGCAACTTCTTCTTCCTTATAGAAGCAATAAAAATGCACTTAAGACGTGACAAGTATTAAAAGCAATGAATTCAATTAAATGTTTAATTTACTTGTAATTTTTTAGCAAGTTCCAAACTGCGCAACTCTCTTTGTTTCTCTTCTTCATTAATTTTCATTCGCATTTCATCAAATTCTTTTTTGATTTCTCCTTTTTTGATTTCAAATCTATTTGGTGGTTTGATAGTACCTAAACACAAATAAATGTGTCCAATGATGCAATATTGGTCGATTTTGAATACCTGACTTTCTTCCACATAAGTAACTCAGTATTTCAAAGTTAAAGAGAATTGAAAAAAAATTGAATTCCGAGTTTTAGCTGTTTATGTTGCGAGGCTCGAAGTATTTTATTTTATTTTATTAATACATACTAATGAATTTATGATGTATAATATTTAATGCTTTGTAAATACATATTACACGGAAAAAAGCAAAATAACAACTGTACATTGTCACATTATTGTGTATTTTATAGGTGTATATTAAATTAATATTAATAATAGTTACATTGTGCGAGTCCATGGTCTTCACCATTTAACTGTTTCTGTACTTCTACTGGATATTGCTGTTGTATAGCTTCCCAAAGATTCACATTAACCATGGCATTCCAATCATTTTTGAATTTACGAAGCCAATTACTTAATCGTCTACGGCACAAGTGACATTGGTATGACGTTAAATCAATCAACTTTTTAAAACATGATAGACAGAGTGTATGGCCACATGGCATTGTCACGGGTTGTATATAAATGAATCCGCAAATTGTACAAATAACTTCATCATGATCTAACTTTTTTTGAATTTTTTTCTGAAAAATGACAAAATAATATAATCTAACTTATTTTATTTTCTAATTGTATGTTTTCACAGAAAAAAAAATCATCTAGGTCAGCGATTCTCTACCTTTTTTTTTTGTACTCCTAAGTTTAATATTTGGCTAGATTGTACATAACATTATCTCAACTACTATTAATAACTATCTATTAAACATTTTAAAACAATGAAAATAGCGAGTTTTATAGTACAAATAAGAATCATTCGCACACTTGTTTATTAGTAAGTCTAAATACACGCTTAAAGGTCCCCACACACTGCAGCGGCGGCGAAGGTGTTAAAATGAGTACAGGCACAATTTACCGGCACCACCAAGACAAAAGAATATTACCACCGCCGCTGCAGTGTGTGGACCTAAAAACTGGACAAAGTTCAATACAGACCATCACCACAACCTACCACATTATTAAATTATTAAATACATATAGTACTCTATAATCATCTACATTTTATAAGATTAGTTGATGATAAGTTTTCATTTTTAATAACATACATTGCCTATTTCCGAAACAAATCGTCTTCAACAAAACAAATTCACTAATTTCGCGTACCCCAAGTAGGAAACCGCTGATCTAGGTAATTAAAAATATACTTTATTACTTACGGAATTCATTGTTTGATATTCTGTTTTCTTTTTATAATAAATTCAAAACTATTTATTAAGTGTTAGATTGTTAAGGTAACTTCTCAAAAAGAACGATGAAATTATCACAACGCAATAGTAAGTTAAAGGTTTTGGCTCACACCTAATATAATAATATATTAAATATATTACATTTTTCGTCATGGATTATGAGTATTCATGACGAATCATACAAAATAAAACTTGTCATATAACACACCAATACGTCAAGATAATTATAAATTTATAACTATCGTATTTTATAAAGCCGTTATTGTACTATTGCACACAAATACTATGGTTAATTGTTGATATCAAAGGCGATAAGTTCGTCCAGCAGTTGGAGTAAAGTTTGGCATAAGTAACAAATAGGCGAATGGAGGCCACACAAGCACTAGTCAACTACCTACTATACTGACTAGCCCACCCACTGCATCGGTACGCCACTAACAGTTAACACAGTCCGCAGGGCACAGGCACGCCGAATATAACCGCCAAAATTTAAGATAGTGTATTGTTGTAGTTTCGTATCGTAAATCGCACATGCGCCTTGAAGACGTGGTTGCCTAAGGAATGAAAAACAGTGTTGCCAAAATAAACACATGAAAAATAGTATATCTATGACTATGGACTTTTTTTTTTATTAATACATAAGAAGGTTTTTTTACAATCTGTATTTATAGTAGTAATACAATAAACAAATGAGATATAATGTAAACAAAAATAAATCCAAGGAAAGGAGCGGACAGGCTGAAGACGTCCATTGGCGGCACCCAGTATCGGCGTATCCAAACTCCAAAGAGTCCAAAGACCATGCGTGTAGAATACAGGATAGCTCAACGCTGCAAATCACGATTGACACGATTTAAAATAGTAGTACTGACACTCAACACTGTAGTAGTTGTAGTTGTACTATCCCAAGGTGGATATCCTCCTTATGGCTTTTACTATCTTAAATCGTGTTGCAGATAGTGCAAATCGAATTTATGCATCAATAATAAGACCACTATTTTAACTTACGCATGCCCTTGTATGGCTGTATGGGCTGCTGTAGAGAGCCTAGGTATTCTAATCTATCTAGGCTCTCTAGGTAGCCGTATCTCGAACAAAAATGAAAAAACTTCAGATAATACAGAAACACGGTTTTTTTTTTTGGCGGGCTGATAATGCGTTTACACAGAGTTGGATTAACCAATGGTCTTCCATAGGTTTAGCATATCGATGTCGAGGTTTTAATTTTAGGTTTTGGTTCCTACAAATTTGTATTAACAGGAACATTCATAAACCATATTATACTAGGTATATAGAAATCATTTTTTTATTTTCTTAAAATAATAACCTTTATAATTATGTGTATTACAACATATGTTATATACTTTTATATTCAAATGTTAAGAGGTTAAGTTCACTTGGTGGGTGATGGCTGATGAATACGGATAAAATAATTTGAAAATCATCGAATTTTTAATCTCAATGACGTCGACTATACTGATACAGCTATGCTACACACGGGTTACATTATACTTCTTACCATCGATTATTTACACTAGTATACATAATCAATATAATGATTATACATATCATACGCACGTAGGTACATCTACATTCTACGATTTATACGACTACTTTTATAACATTTGTGTAAAATAATTATTATTCTCCTTATTTCAAACCGAGAAACTTTTGACATCAACGGTGTCGATGATCACACGATAGTCGTTTATGTTCAATGGTGTACCTTCAACATAATGTACCTACTTACTTATCTACCTAATACATATATATTTGTATTATAAATGATTGAGTTGTGTGGATAATGTGTGACCATGGCCCTTGAAAAATAAACAATTGTTATTCGTCGTATTCATGTCGAAAGCAATATTTTACAGTTAAAAGTCATCGTTTTGATATATTCATATCATTGCGTTGAGCGAGTGCCGAGTAGGTGGGTACGGATTACGTTTCCTGCGAATTCGATATTGTTATTGCCAGTTCCAGAAATTCGACGACAATGGTCGTGACATTGCAGCCATCTCGTGCAAATGATTTCGTACAAGAATAAACATTAAAAGTCGAAGAATTTTATTAGGAGATGTCGCGTTACGTTCACGGCCAACTATGCTCTGTACAGGGCAACTGTTGATACTTGGTGTAGTAGCGATTAGCGAGTATAGTTGACATTATGTCGTCATGGACATCAGGACATGCAAGTGTAGGGCGTAGGCCCGTTTCACAGTCACTCACACGCACTCCCGCAGTCACGCGTATCATACCGCGAGGCCGTGAGGATAGTGCGTGTAACATATGGTGAATATACGATATTAATATATTAGATAATATAACACCACCAAGGTATCTCCACAATTTGTATCACTCTCCGACCTTAAAGCTCTCTCCTCTGATGTCTTCAAATCACAGTCTTTAATTGTATAGTCAAGATTAAATACCTCTTATATTCTTTAACAAAAATAGGCTTTTACGTTATATTTATATAGCCATAGGCCATAAACCTGCAGCCATACAAGAATAGCTAGTTAGCTAGTAACGAGCCAGTTCCACTGCATATCTCGGATGTCCTGATACCCGCTATAGTTTTAAAATCCCGGGGTCAGACTTCAGTCCTCTAATCGCAGGATTTGTGTAACGAAATTGTGGTTAAACCATTGAGAAACGCTATTGTACCTCATTTAACAACTGGAACTTTGAACTTCTCTAAAAATAGAACTATTTTCTCCAACATTCAACCCCGTGTATCAAAACATTGGTATCACAACTTTAATTTCCCTTAGAAATGCATAACCTCCAGGGCTCGAAAACGTTTACATAACGTTATACTAGTAAAAAAACGATTGAAATAGATAACAGAAAACAAAACGGAAATCGGTATTATTAAATTATCATTAAACAAAACTTAGCAATAAACGACCATTTTAGTAAAACAAAAAACAAAACAAAACGATAAACCAATAACTTAAAAAATCTTAAAACGAAACATAACAGAAAACACAAAAAATCGTAAATTGATAAACAATCATTAAACGTTATATTTTATTTTCATAATTTTTACGTATTACGTTTATAATATTAATTAATTAATATTTAATAATATTATATTATTATAATGAACATTGACGTTATGGGAAATGTCAATAAGATTGAATTCGACGAATAGCTTATGGCATTCTATGGTTTTTAATTTATTTTTAAATTTGTGCCCGGTTATATTGTGTAAATAATAAATATGCAGGTAAAATGTAATATGTTAATTTATTTTGTACTCGGAAATCAGTGGAATCGAAAGTCGCTAATTTAAAAATATAATGGAAAATAAATGTTAAAAATAACAGAAATAGTTACTTCACATTTCAGGAACCAATCGGAATAATAGATAGAATCATAATTCATAGCTATAAAAGTATTAACTATAAACAACTAAGTTTATGAGTAAGATATACCCATGCTATTCTACGTGGAGCAACATTATTTTTTTTTATTGATTATATTTTTTATATGATATCTAGCTTTTTTTATACATAGTTATTGATTAACATACAGTTTACAGGATTTTCAGTTTTCCTTTTTTTTTTAAAAAAAACGGTACTTAGACTATAATTACTTTGATACACAGTATTTTACCAAAACTGTATCAATTTTATCAAAGTTACACAGCTTAAGTTTTGTGTCATTTTTCCTGTTTGATATCAAAATAACTTTTAAGCCTAATGACTAAGTGATTTCTTATGTTATAATTTAAAACATAAAAATATGGGCATTTCTTTGTCAGTTTGTCTAAATAGAAAATTGAATAATTTTTGTCTTCCTTTTTTAGTTAAGTGCCCTACATGGCTATATCGCACATATATTGTTTCTGAAAATTACATAGTTAACAGAATTACACGCAGTACTTAAAAATGTGAATTTAGTGGATCAAACGGCTGTAATTTTTAGAGTTTGGTATATACTTCTGGTTTTATGTTTAAATTAAATTAATATTAAACATCTACAATAGACGTAATATTGAAAATTTATATTTATAATTATAAATTATCGTTTATAATATTATTTTAATTGTGAAAATGTAATAGGCACAGCATCGTGTTTTAATTTTTAATGGTGTTAAAAATTTGAATATAAAAATGAAAACGTTTAAATTTCCAATAACGATAAACGTAAAAATATAATAACGTTTATACTGCCAATAACAATAAACATAAAAAATGTATAACGTTTTAATTTTAAGTAACGTTTAACACAAAAATAGTTTAACGGTTTGATACTAAATAACGTAACACGAAATTTTTTCCAAATTCGAGCCCTGATAACCTCTTCCTTCAGTTCTCCAGTCTCCGATTTGGCTACACAAGTTACTTACTTACTTTTCCTACCCATACCTTTAAGCAGTGGCGTATCCAGGAATCATTTTACGGGGATGTTTTAAAATGTATTAGACTTATAGAAAGTGGGGGGGGATCCGGAATTCAAATATTATTAATGTTGTAATTTGTGTGTCTCGTATTAAACTAAAACATACATATATAAGAACTTAGTTGTGATTTGCATTATGCACCTTCCGACAATTTTTAGTGTAACAATATAAAAATATTTTTTTTTTTTTTTTAATTGATCCTGAGCCCGGCAACTGTGGCCATTAGCTATTAGTAGGTACTGTAGGTTTTTGTATTGATGGTTTGTATGTTTTTGGTACGGTAGGGGGGAACACGTGTGTGTTTGTTTTGGCAGAATTTCGAATGGGGCACCCGTAGGTTTCTGCCATGCCCCAGGGGTGGGGGATGGCAGCACTTGCTCTCCGGTCACCGCGACTTGTCCGGAGAAAAAATATAAAAATATGTTGTGCTAAAGTTCAGTATATTATTGTTGCTTTGTAGGGTGATAAAATTAAAATATATTGTGGAGAAGGAAGGCTGAAGCCCTAATATAATTTCCCAATAAATATTTATAAATGTCCTCTAGTCCCCCTCTTCTCACCAATCACCGATGCCATCCTGGTCTATAGGAACCACTGATTATATGATATACATTCAGTGTTTGGATAGTTCTTTTAAAAAAATGAATTAGTTCACGTTCACGTTAATTTTGCTAAAAAGAAACTAAATCGTTTCTCGTTTTTGGCTTGAAGAAAGAACTACTTCCTTACCTCGTACCTTGGTACTTAAATAAAAAACATTTTCCATTTCTACATAACTTTTAAATTGTATTAGTAACTAATATGATATTTGTAGTAGGTAATAATAGTTTAATTAGGCAGTTGTTTTGTTCTTAAAATGTTTAATTTGTTTATTTCACATAAGTTAAGACCGATGAGACCGTCGTGACTGTAGCCTCGAAATTCGTGTTAACATTGTCAGTATAATCATATACTGTTATATACTAAAGTCATTATAATACTGACTACATTTCTAAAAAAATAAAAATTATAAAAACTTTTGCCATACAGTTAATTCAAGTTCCCTATATTTATCTCAATTTAATT